CCTCTGAGGCTCACAGACTGCCCCTGTGGTAATACTGACCAGTTAGAACCACACTGTGAGTCTCGGGGCACACAAGTCCTACTGTCCTGCTGACTGACCCATCCACCTGGATGAAGTTCAGAAAGACAGGCTGTTCATAATATTCTTGCTACCTGACCAGACACAGAGTCAACAGTCTTTCTCCTGCAGGATCTCTGCCTCTCTCGCTCTGGGATTAAGATCTGTGAGATTGTGTCTCTCTGTGCTTCTCCCTCTGTGGCTATTTTTGTCTAATGTTTCTCTGTCACACCCTCTCTGAAAAGCAGGCAGACTATGAGGAACATGGAAATGAGGGGGTTTTCTGAGTTCCTGTTTTCTCTCCAGGAATTTAGCATCCCTCTAATCAGACACTCAGTGTCCAACTGCCTCAGTGCCAGAGACTCAGGGTGAGACTGCAGCTGTCTCAGTGACAGAGTCTCAGTGCGAGTGCCCAGCTGTTTCACTGGTTTCAGTTCATACAGTCAGATCTATGGATCCAGACAGAGTTTACACCGCAATACAGAAACCATCACAGGATGTGTACGCTACTGTGAGCAAGAGACCAGAGACACAGCCTGGAGGAGAGCCAGCCAGTGAGAACAGTGCTGATACACCGACACAGTGATGCGCTAATACATTCCTACACTGACATTCTGATATACTGCCACACTGACAGACTGGTACAGTAACAGACTGATACACTGTTGTGCTGACAATGTGAAGAACAGTGTATCGGGGATTACAGTGATTACAGTGTTAATACACTGATAGACTTACACACTGACACAATGACAATCTGATGCACTGGCAGTCTGATATGCTGGTACTGTAACACACTGTTATACTGCCACACTAAAAAACTGACCAAATGATACAGAGATACTCTGATACACTGTTACAGTAACACACTTATATACTAGTACAGAACACACTGACACTCTGACATACAGTACTGACTCAGACAATGAAATATTCTCTCTGAATCTCTGCCATGTGCATGATTCATTCCATTATTAAATTGTTATATCTGATCTGTTTATGCTTGTCATTTTCCTAATAATTTATTTCTGTTTCCTTGACTTTACTATTTTAGTTTTCTTTTCTCCTTTGCCAACTTTTGAACGCAATTCCTAGAAATCAGATCTTTGCAGTGCAAGACAAGTATTTTGTTTGTTCCGTGACCAGTTTTACTGGCCCAAGTCCTGAAGTGTCTCACTCTGAGCCTTCAGCTGCTCACACCGCTCCTCCACAGTCAGTCCCAGTAACACACTGCAGCACCAGTCAGTGTGTCTGCTTGAGCTCTGCTTTCCCGGCCACTCAGTGTCCTGCTGTGCCCAGTCTGTGGGGAGTATTAACCTGTCTCCCTCTCTCATTGCTTAGGACAGTCCAGGTGTAGAAGATGTGTGTTCATCACCCTGGGAGTCACAGTGTGTGTAATCCTGGTCGCAGTCATTGCCCTAGTTGTCTGTAAGTCACTCCTCATTCCTCATAATCACTCCTGTAATTTCATATGGACTTAGATATAAGTATTTCTGTAACTATAAGACCGTGATTTGTTTTGATGTCTAAAGTACAAGATCATCTCTGAGAACATGCTCGATTTCTTCCACAAGTTTTCAGGTGGAAGAAAAAAGCCACCTGCCCCGTCAACCGGTAACCACGCCCACTTGAATGACATCCTTCGCAGGCCACGCCCCGCTCACCTGTCCGCCAGGTTCTGCGAGAGAGGAGGGAGCTGAGTGAGTTTGTTCCGCGTCTTTTTGTGATTCATTTTATTTTTCATTTGTTTTAATGTAAATAAGATTTAATTAATATAGTTATGTAGTCTAAACCTCACAGGAGAAAGGAGTAAACACTTATTTTCGTTAGGCGCTAAATAGCATTTTTATTGTCTCTCTTTTCCAACGCTTCTCTCCTTTTTTAAACTTGTGTTCCTCAAACAGCGTGAGTATTTCTTTGACTTCGAAGAAAAGCTCTGTTGTGGCACTAAAGACACTGCTGTATTGGTAGAATGAAAACGTCGTTTTTCTGCCTGTTTATCTTACTTTGGTTTATCACACATTTAAGCATTCATCCAAACTGAAAATAGCTCTTCTAGAATTCATTTTTTTCTCATTGTTTTCCAGAGTATTTTAGGTGGTTATGTTCTTCTATTCGTGTAAAATGGTTAAAAAAACCTTACAACGAATACTTTTTGTTTAAATGGTCTTTAAATTCTCAATTGTGCTGTTTTTAGTGTTTTCAGTTTAGTGTCTTCGGACAGGACACGATCCTCGCTAAATATTGGGAGTATAAACGGAGGTTTAAACATTTTATTCATTTCTTTACACTGATTTTTTTTTTTTAAATATGTTCTGCGCTGTCTGTCCCGGTGAAAACGCCGTTTTCTGTTAAGAAACTTTGGTTTAAATTATCTGTTAATGGTCGTCTGAATACATGTTCTTGTGTTCCAGTTTGGTGTTTTCGAACAGGACATGCTCGGCTCAGCTGCTGGAATTATCTATGTAAGTATAAACCTATTTATTCGTTTACACGTTTCACATTGAAGTGCAGTATATACTGTATCTCCAGAAAATTGTTGTTGATAAACGTTATGTACCTTATCCAAAGGAGTCAAACTAAGCCACACTAAATTTCTCCATGGCAGAAGTTGTTAAACTGCTATCACTTTAGCCTTTTTTGGGGGGGTGCGCATAATACAGATTCATAAGAAACCGTTTTGGCTTCCAAATTACATCACAAGAATTAAAACAATGGAGCCTATAAAGATTTAGATTAATTGTTCGGGTGTTAACGAAGTTGTTTCTGAAAACGAATGTTAATCAAAATGGAAGTTGCAAAAAACATTTGAATGTGATAGATTCGTTCTAATCGATAAACATGTACAGTAGCTGTATTGATTGTGCCTTCGTTATTTTGCACACTTGAAAAGCAAACCTGAGTGCTTCGATATCTGTTCAACAGGAGCATTTCGTGATACAGCAGACTAAGTGCTTTATTTCAACTGTAAATCATTTTAAACTGTTTCATCTTCTGGACGTGTCAGTAAATACGGAAGCTCGATCTAACTAGCTGGTATAAATGCGAGATGCTGTTTGTAACAGAAAGCACAACTAATACTGATTTCTGTTGTTTTGCAGGAAAGGCAACGAAGTTCCCGATTTAACTCTGGTCGCTGCCTCGACAGATCCCTCGGAGAAACAGTAACGTGCTGTATGTTTCTGTGCTTTTCCATGT